GTGAGGCCTAGCATTACTATACTTGTGGGGACCTACATCTTTTTACACAGTCACGTGTGGGGACTCGCTTCCCTTATGGGGACAAATTGGAGGTCCCCATAAGGGGAATCATTAATTTTAGGGTGAAGACTTTGTTAGGATTAGGGTTAAGTCTCCAGGAAATGCATGTAAGTCAATGTAATGTCCCCTGTGTGTGTGTGTGTGTGTGTGTGTGTGTGTGTGTGTGTGTGTGTGTGTGTGTGTGTGTGTGTGTGTGTGTGTGTGTGTGTGTGTGTGTGTGTGTGTGTGTGTGTGTGTGTTACTCGTAATGGTTTTAGATCATTGTCGCGCATCACCCTACAGCATTTCCATTCAAAGGAAGGCCTGCCCACAGTGGGACGAATGGGTAAAGAGAGCAGAGGATTCTACCCGAGAGATCGCAAGAGATCTTCAGAGATTGGTTGATGAGCCGCTGACAGGAGCCTGACAGATTCTAGGAGATCCAGGCGAAGTCCCTCTCGCTCCCGTTCTGCTGCTCCCCCTCCTGTGCCGAGGAGTCGCTCTCCTCCTTCTCATTGTCCAGTGCTCCGTGTGCCTCGGAGGTCATCCCCGAGTCTTTCCACTTCCCTCCTTCCTCCTCCCCTTCTCCCATCATCTCTCCGTCCCCTTCCACCATCATCTCCTCCTCGCCGTCTCCATCACCGTCACACTCTGCCTGGTCATCGTGGAAACGGTCCCCAGGATACAGCTCCTCCTCGGGGGAGATGTCTCCTCCCACCTCCCCGTTGTGGTCCAGCAGCGCGGCCATGCCTCGGCCAGAGCAGTCTGCGCAGACGCCGTGACGCCGAGAGCCGTGTTTGATTCCCACGCTGGCTGCCGACATGAAGACTCGGCTGCACACTTTACACACATACTTCTTGTCTTTACTGTGGACCTGTTGAAAGGAAACACAAACGTTTTTTTAATGTCATATTTTACACTATGGCCAGGGGTTAAACAAAGGCCTACCCTCTTCCATCATCAGCCCTGCATATCCTGAACAAAGTATATTTTGACTAAATGTGTTACCCTGGCTTTGCAATCTGCTATTGTTATTTGGCTTGGTTTACGTGGTGCTTTATGTTTAAAATAATGAACAAAAGGCTATAGAATGGTATGGCAAATTGGCAAGGTTTGTCGAAGAAAGTAATTGTATAGTACGTGTATCTTAAATATTGTGAAAAAAGTAACTATAGGATTATATTAGTATAGTAGTAGTATTTTTAGCGAAAATAAAGCAAAAAAAGCCAATAAAAGTCACAGTTACATATATAGTATGTTCAAAAATCGGAAAAAGTCATAGTATAGAATGTTGAGGTTTGAAAAATGAATCAAAGTATATTATATTGACAAAAATATATTGTATAGTATGTTTTTAAAATGAATGAAAATAGATGAAATATTGTCCCATAAGGTCTAGCGGTTAGGATTGCTGGTTTTCACCCAGGTGGCCCGGGTTCAACTCCCGGTATGGGAAGTGAAAAAAAGTCTCATAGGATAGTATGCTGAACATTTGAAAAAAAGGCATAGGATAGTCTGTCCAAAATTTGAAAAAGTAATACATGCCAAAAAAATTAATACAGTACGTCAATGCAAAGCATGTTTAAAATGTCATGAACAAAGTCATAATTTATGTTGATCAACGTTATAGACACCAGCTAGTGTTAGAGATGTTGTGACTCTACAGATGAGCAGTGTGGTGAAGGTGATTCTGCCCAACCCCCCCCCTCGAGTGGGCTGCCCTCAGAGCGTGGATTTTGCTGCGGTGTCGTCAAACCTCTCGACCCTTCCTCAAACACTAAGCCTGTCTTGTTTATCATACATTTTTCGGACAGTTATGTCTCCTTTAAATGCCATTGAAAGATTTGGATATTTCAAAAAGTGTGTATATTGTAATATTGCAATATTTTAAGGTGTGCCCAGAGACCCCCATAAAAAACCCAATGTATGTGTGATTGACTGTCTCCTGCGGGTGATGGGATAGCTGCACTCACCAGTGTGTGCCGCTTCATGTGCTCCCTCCTGGTGAACTTCTTGCCACAGATTTCACAGGGGTAGGGCCTCTCGCCGGTGTGGGAGCGCATGTGCCTTTTTAGGATGCACTGGTGCATAGCAGAGAAACCGCAGTAGGGGCACTTGAACTTTTTACGGATCACAGTGAAGTCATTCACTGTAAAGACAGCAAGAGGGAGAGAAAAAAAGAATACAAAAAAGGATTAGTGTTCAATGAAGCTCTTTTAAATAAACCAAGACGTTACTTTTCAGTTATTACATTTAATTAGCGGCAAGGTCTAGAAATGTACCATCAATTCCCATGGTCACCCCAATCCCAGTCAAAGCTACAGTTGCCCTGGCAACAGCTCTTCCTCCATACTAAAGCAATAAAGGCGAAGAGATACTATAAACACGACACACAACAGTCAGTCTGCTTTAGTTGCTCTAGAGGGTCTCTGCTATGGACAGCAATACACAGACAGAAAGACAAACACAGACAATGACAAGAGGCCTGGGGGCTAGGAAATAAAATCACACACACAAAGAGATGCTTTAGCAATGAAATGAGAAGAAAACTAATGTTAATAACTTGTCACAATCTTGTGTAGAGGTGTGGAAAGCCAATCATCTCAAGGTCTAGACTCAAATGTTTGCTAAGAAGGGCATCAAAGTAAACAGATTGTGTGTGTGAAAAGCTTTGCAGTCAAGGCATACAGTGTATGACCATGAGAGATCAGGACTGGATGTCGGGGTACTCACACACAACACAACATAACTACTGTACAGAAAGGTGGGGTCACACACACAGTTTAGGGTTTTAGGCTTAAAGTGACACAATATAATTACCTCAATCTGCAAATCGACTTCTGCCCTGATTAAACACTCAACAGCACAAAAACATGCAAGCACACATCAAATGCACAACTGATACGGACATCTTATTCAGGAAATATTCTGCTGAGCGGTGAGTTAAAATCAAAAGACAAAGAAAGGAATATTTATGATTGTGTGAATGATATGCACGGCACGGATAAAAGATAAAGAACTACGGAGAGGTTTTCATTTCATTTTGCATCACAGTTTAATTACAGCATCAAAACTACAAGCAGGATTATTAAAAATGTCCTATCTCTGTACAAAATGTGTTTTTCCCAAGGAAAATAAAGTATAATCTGGAGTAAAAATACCTTTCAGTATTTACAACACATTTACAGAACGAGCCACACAGTATTTGCCATGTCTTCTGACTGGCTGTCTCTGCAGAGTTCCTGATCAGTTCCTGACTTCTCTGAGCCTGCCAGTCGGTTTCTGCTGGCTAGGACACCCTACCTGGGGTGTCATATCAGAAAGGATTTGGCATTTGGGAGTACTTTGTGTGTATGTTTACACAACAGCATATTCCCCACCTTTTCTTCCTTTACTGAGCCCACAGAAATAGTCCTATGTGTTGGAGCGACTGTGTACTATTAGAAGGACACACAGGTGGATGTCTTCCATTTGGATACTCACAAAAGAGCGTTATCATTTGGTATCAGGGAAATATATTGGTTTATAGTTACAGGCCTGCTGAGAACATTTTGGCAGAAATTGGTGTGAATTTACATTAGCGATGATTTTGAAGCCAGTGTTCATGCTGATTCCAATATCCTGCAGCTCTATAACACCCTCTGCGTTACTGTCTTCACCATCGACAGTATATTCCTCTCCTGCGTTTAACCCATTTGTCTCACAACCAAACCATTATCTGTCCGCAGCAGTGGCATCACGACGCTCATCTGGTTTAAGGCGCATCTGCCCCTCTGACCCTACTTCCTCTTCAGATGAAGAGGTCAGGGGTCAAGAGGGGACAGAGCCATGAAGGACCAATTACTGTCCAGCTCTGGCCAACAGAGGACTTACAGATATGGGACGGAGGAGAAGGACAGAGAGAGAGAAAATGACACCTCCCAACCCCCATCTGAGATGCTACTGCTTTATTGTTTTAGCGCGCTTTGTCTCGTTGGGAACACCCCCTCCATCTGCACCTATCTGACAGCAATGACTGAAGGTAATCATGTCAGAGGGATAACTGAAAACGAGACTCTACGTGTCCAGTGGGGATGGTGATGCAATGACTTCGTGTTTTTTTTCTTTGAGTTTCAGTTTGAAGAAAAGTAACCACCATCCATTTCGTTTCAAGCCATTTCACTGGCCTTGGACATAATCTAATTTGTGTCTTTATTCTGCTCTCATGCTGCAATTGTACAAAGTTCCTGCAGGTGGTGTGGTTGTGTGGGTTGTGAGCCAAAGTAAAGCCTGAGTGTCTTTGTGCCCATAGTGCAGGGGTGGACACACAGATAAAGATCTCTCTGCCTAAAAAGGAGAGAAGAGTTTAGTCAGACTGGTGACTGGCGACAGAGAGCCAGACAAGTGCTTTAGGTTGGTGAGACGGAAAGACCCCACCCCCCTCGACCCACTCGGCAACGCAACCAAAGGTTATTCACCTGTTTTTGTCCAATCAGTGAAAACTGAAACCTTTCAAAAACCCAAAGATAACTAAGAAACTGTCAGTTCATTAAACAGCTCAGCTTTGCATACCAATTGTCCATTGTTGACGTAAGCTCTTGATTCTAGTTAAAAAAATATTGACATATATAAACAATATTTAACAAAAGAAACACAATTTAAAAAAGGTGTCCCTAAGATGATGTGTTCACGTTTTCTTTCTTAGTGCAATTGCGCCACAGAGCATCTTGGCCTGAACGTAAACACGTGAGGATACGCTGCTAACTGATGGGTATAAATGAGTGCACAAAGTCTGCCTCAATTTTCCACATTGATACAGGGATCATGATTGTCAACTTTCCTCTCATGAGAAAACCTCCACAGGGAATCTATAACCCCACCCTGAGTCATTTCCATCCCAGTGCTGCCTCCCAGCAGAGCTCCTGGCATTGACCCCATCTGGCAGCACACTTTAACATGTGTCGCCAGGTTTTTCTGGGTGCTAAAAGCCTTGGCACAGGCTGGGCAGGTGTGCCCTCTTTCTTTGGAGTGCACGGAGGACAGATGCCTGTGCAGGTCGGTGCGGTCTCTGAAGTGTTTCATACAGTAAACACACTGCATCAGCTTCTTCTTGAAGTGGATGGTCTTCTCGTGTCTGTCTGCATTTGATTTGAGGGTGAAGCTTGCGGGGCACTGGGAGCAAAGGTAGCGGGCCGACGTGGGCTCGGCCACTGTGGGGCGGCAGAGAGACTGGAAGAAGTGAAGAGGCTGGGATTGTGGATGGTGACGGAGCTGTGTCGGTTGGTGGTGCGGACCCTGCATGTTTGGCCAGTCCAGAGACAAGGCCATCAGAGACAGGGTGTGGCGGTACTCGTGTTCCCTCAGATGCTCCAGGCTGCTGCACAGCCGTTTGCACAGGGAGCAGGCGAACCCCTGAGAGGGCCAGGCACCGGGCTCTGGCAGGCCCATTTTCCCTGACCCAGCCTCTCCGCCCAGCACCGTCAGCCCTTTAGTCCCTCTGGCAGCCACGGTTACTGATGCAGGAACAGTCAACCCCCCAGCACAGCTCTCACCGCCCATCTGATCCCTCTCCACCGGAGACTGGTCACCTTCCAAGGCTGAGATAGCGAGAAGGAAAGAGTGGAAGTGAGAGCAATAGATAAAAGGGGCAAACTCTCTCTTAAGTTATCTTAATGTGTGATATGCTTTGAATGTAAAGCCTAAACTATACCTGTGCTGAACTGTTGCATGTCTTCTTTGTCTTTAACACCCTCCTGTAAGCACAAAAGATCTTGTTATGTCACACACACACACACACACACACACACACACATTAATAAGTTGTGTATGGATTGTTGTCTGGGCATGCAGGAGGCAGGCAGGTGGGACAGTCTGCAAAGACAATCTTTAGTCTGTGAGAAACACAATAACAAAGACATGAAAACAGTAAAGAAAAGAAGAGAAACACATACATGGATCAGAGTGATTTAAAGACACGGATACATTGTTAGAGATTAGCAAGCAAACACAATCTTGCAAAGAGCTGACAGATCCTGGATGGCTTCCTGGGAGACACAGAACGAGCAGTAAGTTTGATCTACTGTATTAATAATAATATCTGCCTGATACAGCAAGGCGCCCTAAAGACCTCTCCCTTTTCCCATGTACACCCCATCTGAACTCTATCCTTCCTCAATCTTCTTCACGCTCGTGCCATTTTCTTCACGCTCGTGCCATTTCCCCCCCCCCCCAAAAAAAAAACATAGTATGACTTTTTATGACAAAATATTCAATAACTGTTTTGTAAGATATTGATATAATATACATGGACATTGTTTGTGATGAACTCTCTCCAGTTTGTTTTATTATATCGTATTGCATAATATGCTACGATATTTATTTATGATATTTTTATTTTTATAATTGTTTTACGATAAACTATACTATTGTTAATAATTGATATACTTGGAAATTGTCTGTACATTTTCACATAAACTACTATACTTAGATTTTTCAATGATTTGTTATGATGTACAGAACTAAACTATGACTTTATATATGACTTTTTTATGGCATGCACAACTAGGACTTTTTCTTACATACCTTTCTATAGCTACAACTAAGACATACTTTATTATGACTTGAATGGAATACAATGCTATGATTTAATTTATGGCATTTTCTAAGACATTTTAGCATTGTCAATTGTTAAGCGTTCTACATCGATTTTAGAAGTGGCAGACAAATAAATAAGTGGCAAATAGAAATATTCAGCGACCTGACCACAGTGGCAGGTAAAGACAACAACTTAATTTCAGAACAAGCCCCCACCCATATCCTCATCCCCTACACTCCGCCTCCTCCGCCTTCCTCCTCCTCCTCCTCCACCTCTCTAAGAACAGAACACCATGCACTGTGCAAACAGATGGCTTGTCCACCAAGATAGGGAGGCTTGTTGGGAGGCAGGTCCACTGAAATCAAATGCTGCTCCTAAAACACTCACCCGCACACAAACACACACACTGGCACAAAACTCAAATCCACACATGCTCATACTGCCATGCTCACACACGCCCACACTCCCTCACACACAAACACACACACACACACACACACACACTGAACAGAACAAACAATTTCCTGGGCTGCGAGAGCAAACCTCTCATTGTCTACTTGTATTGATTCTAGTCAGTCTCACTACCTCGCCCGTTATCTGCCATCTCTTAGCACACGCAGCCATTGTGACCAGATGTGTCATCTCTCATGTAACCACTATAAACTATCGCTAATACCGAGCAAAGACTCTTGGCTTGAAGGTGGATTTGGGTCTGGCTATATTAAAAAAAGATGATATGAAAAAACTAAAAGGGAGACAAGAGTACAGAATGAGGAAGAAAAGGCAAACAAAGCACACAGAAAAAAAAGGCAAACAAAAGAAAACAGTCTGAATTTTGCCAGATTCCACACAGAGAGCGGTTGAGAGATGCTGCGTAATTGTAATGTTTTTTAATCATGAAAAACAACCCCATTAACCCTACTTCTCCGAATAAAGCCCCACAACCCCACCCCTCCACCATGTTTCAAGTCACTTTCTTTTATCTGTCATCTCAACCCCCCTCAGTGTGTTTGTAGAAAAAGGGTGAAGCCGCTCCCTGGATGCTCTTCTCCACTCTTTGAAACCTGTCTGAGTGGAGGAGTCATACCCAGAGAGCGACCTCTGACCTGGAGCTAAGCCAGGATCTGTGGGCTTACCTCAGGCAGTGTGTAGGGCTCCGGGCCCTTGGGGGCCTCCTCCACTTCCATGTCCAACCCTTCTGAGTGCAGCGGGGGTGCCCCAGCCCGCTGCCCGGGGGCCTCCAGGGGCCGAGGCTCAGAGGGTTGCAGTGGCGTGGGTGGAGTGGGTGGGTAGTGAGTTGATGATGACGGCGGTAGTGGTGGTGATGGTGGAAGATGAGTAGGAAGAAGAGGAAGAGTAGGAGGAGGAGAGGAGCCAGCCCCCTGTTTGTTATGAATAGTGGCCCCCATGGCCCCTGGCCGGAGCGTGCTGCAGTAGTTGTTGGAGCGGAGCCCTGAGGAGCACAGGAAACGAGTCTCACCCACCCACTCACGTACAACTGCAACTCTGCTAGCAGCTGGCCACCAGAACACAACGGGAGAGAGTGGGCAGGGGGGCACACAGAGGCTGCCAGTGCTACACTATCAAACACTGTGGAGAGGGGGAGGAAGAAAAACTCTGAAGTTTCACTTTCCACCAGCCGAGGGGAAAGGGTTAGGGCTTCTCTTCTCTCTTTCTCTCACTGTTTCTTTCACTCCTCTGCTCTCCTTCTCCTTCCACCCACATGCGTGCGCAGAGGATGGCAGTGAGTGTGTTTGTGTTTCTTGAGAGAGTGTGCATGTGCTGTGTGAGTAAAATGCATATATGGAGAGGGCTTGAGGATCCTCTGTAGCGTGGAGGGAGATTGTTTTGGAGAGGAGCCATCTTGCAGCTCAAGTAAAGACTTTGTGTACGCGCAGGGTAAAGGACGACTGTATCGACCACGTAAGATGTTTACCGGCAACAAGTAAAAGGCAGGGTGGATGATGATTTCCAAATTCCTCACAGGGCCTTTAGCTCGCTATAACTATTCTCACAGAAGCTTTTTCTGCTACATTAACATCACCATTAGCTGGTACTGTGAGTGCATCTCTTTTTCTCAAAGTGCATATAAATCATAGAGTAATGTGTTGCAGGTTATTGTGGATTGTGTGTGTGCGTATGCGAGTATGCGCAAGTGTGGGCAGTGTTTTGGGGAATGTGTCCAGAGTTATGCAGAGCGTTAGCCATTCATTGCCCTCCTCTGCACAACGGACAGAATCACACAACCATGAGGCTCAACCGTGGACGGATTCCTGGAATGTTAAACTACCGCGCCCGACACTCCCCACTCCCACTTACTGAGAACACACACAAATGCTCAACTCCCCATCTCCTTTTCCCCACCCCCGGCAGTGTCGGGAAGAACAACAGCAAGAGGGAGGCAGAAAGGGAGACAGTAGAGAGATGAGCTACAGGTGAGAGGAGCAGCTCATTAACAAATTGTCTTCTGGCAGTGGACCCTTCTTAGGAAAAGACACTAATGGAATAGCTCTGTTGAACAGTCTCGGTTCAAGCTTCTTAAAGAATTTCAAAATACAATTGTTATTTCTTTGCAATCTTGTCTCACTGAGTTTAATATTGCAGTTGTGTCTGGAAAGCCGTACAGGTTACAAAAAACAGCAGGCCGACTCGGTGCAAAGTGACACGAGTAAATGAAATAGAAGAAAAACACATTAATGGAGAGTAACTAAATTACTTACAACTACAACCTGCATGCTCTCCTCCACCACATTCTGAGTGGGGTCAGACATATTACATATGTTTAGGCTTTAGAGAGGCAATTACTGTAAGCTAACTGACCAATTGCCAATAGCCAATCAACTTTCAAGTCTGTTTGCAGGAGTTTTCAAAACGCTTAATGACGCCCTATTAGCAAAAGCCTTTGGACAGGTTTATTGCACTTTTATTGCTTAATGATACGGGGAAAAAAACCTGGTTTGGACTTGTGTTTCAGACACTGTATGAAGAGATTAAATAAAAAAAGTTACAGCAGTTCCAATAAAATAAATGGATTATGAGTCCTGTTATGAAGTTAGAACTCCTGCATCAATATCTACCATTAACTTTGTTCTTACTAAAAAAATGCAGGGGGAGGATATGGTTTTACAATAAAAGGATCCAAAAATGTTTAATATGAAAAGAAGATTTGTGTCACTGTCATAAATAAAAATCATAAAAAACTGTGAAGCCACTGTGGAGTGAGTCAAACGTAGATGTGAAGTGAAGAGTGCAGGAAGTAAAGAGAAAAGTTCAATAATGTCAGCATGATCCCTATATTTAATTGGATGTTCTCTACAGTGGCAGTGAGGACAGGTGCGCAGGGATGGTCCGGCCAAATCCATTGTCTGGCATTGATTGTCTGTGGTCCAAAAGGGGTAGCAGGGCCAAATCCCAATGATCTTAATTGGATTGAGGAGGCTGATTGACATACTGACTGGATTTACAGATTTTGGAATTCCACATGCTAGGAGGATGTAGTCCGTGACCCATGCAAAGGATAGCAAAGAGAGGAGATGTGCATTTGAATGGCAGGCCCTGTCAACAAGGTGAAGTTTGGATTGGTTTGAATTGCTGAATGTGAAGAGAGAGAAAGCATTCAGGGGCAACTCTATTGATTCTCAGTTTGGTAAGATTTTGGATGTATGAATCTTTAGGAGAAGCATGTTTTATTAAACAGTCAATTATATACAGAAGAGAGAAAGAGGGGGAGGGGGGAGCTCTGTGTCAAGGCCTTTTTGCCGCTGATATTCAGCGGTCTCTCCTGAATTGGGCCAGGTGACCTTGCTCTGTCTCCTCTCTGCCTAGATCAATACTTTCCCAGGATTTGAAACCAACATACTTTGATGCTCTACAGTTGAAGTAAAAGAGGGGAAAAGAGACAGGAGAGAGACATATAAGGAGGAACTGCATGAGCCGGCCAAAAGGGGAGGGAGAGTGTGAGGGATGGGTGTTAAGGAGGGGTGAAGGAGAAATGGATGAAGGGAAGGAGGGATGGATGACGTGAGGGGGAGTACAGGAGGGGGAAAAAGGACAGGAAGGATGTTAAGCAGGGGTGAAGGAGAAGCAGGGAGGAGAACAGGAGGAGGGAGGGGGAAAGAGGGCTGAATGGAGGGAGGGAGGGAGGGAGGGAGCAGCGATCTGTCAAACCAGGCAGACTTATCCTCCGCCCAGTAATCTGAGGTACAGTGTTTGTTTATTTCTCTCCTCATTTAGACACAGGGACCGACCCAGGGAGGGAGGGGAGGTTGTTGGGCATCTCGACAAGCCCATTTCCCCAACCCCTATTGTGTAGTGAATTCAAAATAAGGTTTGGCTAACCAAAAACCCTCCCTGAGGTTTCTTTGTTGACAACCGAAATACAGCCATAAGACTCGTACAGTTCTTTTTTTTCAAGGGGCCAAATTATTAACATTCTCTGAATTCTCAAAATCTCCTTTTCATGCTGTAGCAAGGCTGAGTGTTGCTGCACAGTGTGAATTCATATCAGAAAAGCTTCTTCTTCTTCTCTTCTTTGGTGGCTTGTGAGGCTGTCTATCTGTGCTGTGACAGCATCTGATTCTCCTCTTTAAGCCAACAGAAACATCTCAATCCCACACACTTAACACTTACACAAAAGGGTTGATGTGACTTGCGTGTGCGAGCTGCAACAGCAAACGTGTGTTTTCCTCTTTTCAGCTGGCCCCTGTCTTTTATTCTGTAGGTGAGTGGGGCTGAACTCAAAAGGCATCACTCGGCTCAGAGTTGTACCCTTCCTTTGCTTTTCTTCCGCTCACAAAGACAGGCAGAACTCAGGACAAAAGATCCAATTACTAGCCAGTAAAAGCAAAGAGACACAAACACACGCGTTGCACACACACACACAAATGTGCCCACACAGAAATGGAATCAAAAAAAATAATACGCTCACGCTGGCACACACACAGAGATGCACACATGCAGACAGATTAACACCCTAACTGAATGCAAAAAAACCGAATAAATGGAACTATCTCATGTTAACATGGACAAATTAGGCATACATATGGATATTAAAAATGGTTGTGGTTAAAAAAGTGTTAATTTTAAATTTAGTAGAAGCTTTCAATTGAAGAGTTGATAAAAAGAGTTATTTTGTTTCTCATGTGTGGAGGTATTCAGACTTTCAAAGATGAGAAGGTCATTGAAGGCACACAGCACTTCACACTCTATGCAGTCATGAATAATTACATAAAAAATGTGATGTTTAAATTTTTTTTTAAATATATTCTCACATAACCTAACATTTCTCTATCATCATTTTCTGTTTCACTGTTTATTATGGATACAATTTTAAGGAAAATACTCCTTATTTTGAAGGTGCTGTTAGCAAGATGAATAGGTGTGTGTCGTAGATGAGAAGCGCAAATCGTTTCATCGTTTTTGGGGATGATATATAGTAAGTAGGCAATAGTAGAACAGTTGCTGCAATTTTGTTTTGTTATTTTGCCGCTGTAAAATACAGCCGTGTACCCACTGATATGCACAAAGAAACTGTCACATAAAACCAAACACATTTTTCTCACAAAAGCAAGAGCCATCCCAGCTAAATGTTCTCTCACTGAGTCACTGCTGACTAGTCATCACTGGCATAGCCACACAAACTCTTTACAAACTCAAGTGGCACACACACACACACACACACACACACACACACACACACACACACACACACACACACACACACACACACACACACACACACACACACACACACACACACACAGTTATCCAAAGACAGTGGCTGATGAGCGAAACAACTCTGCTGAAGAAGAGGATACTCATGTCAAAAGCAGTCAAGCCTGTATGTTTTATGCCTCACACAGGTGACCACATGAGCTGCTACTCAAACATACACCAGTAGATCCAAAGCAGTTTGTGTATACCCACGCTATAATGAGTTGTGTGTGTGTGTGTGTGTGTGTGTGTGTGTGTGTGTGTGTGTGTGTGTGTGTGTGTGTGTGTGTGTGTGTGTGTGTGTGTGTGTGTGTAACAATCAGTGTGAGCAGAGTGTTAGTAAATAGTGACTTACAAGACAGGGAGTGTGCTCCTTTGGGCAGGTACTCGAACAGTAAGGGGTTATCATCTCCCATCATCTCAGCCCGCAGAGACAACAGGCTGTTCTTACTCATCAGCGCTGCCTTCAGATTGGCTACAGACGACATTGTTCCGCCCCCGCCTCCTCCACCGGGCTCCTCTGATTCGTGGGGACCCAGGTAGCTGGGCTCTGTGGTGAGAGGCTCTTCCTGTTTGAGGAAGAAGTCGAGGCGTTCGCCACGGCTGTCTGAGCTGTTGGGTTCGGTCACGTCTGCCCCTGAAAAGAGATGAAGTAAGAGAAGATGAGTTAAGGCTTCTCTGTCCTCCTGTAGCCATTACTGGCTGATATTACAATGGCTTGTAAAGAAACACAAAGTAAAGCAAAGAAATCCAAGTTGGTGTCACGGAAAAATGTCTCCAGACATTTCACAGAGCATTGTTTTGACTTAATTAGGGGATTACATGCTTCTGTATTGGCTGAAGATTCTGACAGTTAGATTTGTGAAACCCTTTCTAAGGGGATGAAAAAAACAACTAACATGTACTTGAATACTTTCAGCCGACAGTGATAACAGCTTGAGTGAAAACACTAAAAGCCCACCATATTAAACCAATTCTTTCAAACCTCTCAGCCGAGTCATCGTTTACACCCAGTGTTTTCGGCAGTAACTACCAAGCCGTCACCGCTCTGAATCATCTTTCTCCCTCCTCGACTCCCTAACACACCTCATCATCACCAGTCAACAAAAATACAGGGAGATCATAGGGAGACAGTGAGAGAGAGAAAGACAGACACAGAAATGGTTTGTGTGTGTGTGCGTGATGTCTGCGCGTATGTGTGTGTGTGTGTGTTTAGCCGTCAGTGTCGTTGAAAGCAGAGTGTGTAAAGAAGCTGTCAGCGGTAGACATGTCGCTGGAGGTTCCACTGTAGATCTACAAGACTGTCAGACAACACTGCTGACGAAAACTACGCTTAACACAAACACACACACACACACACATACACAAATATAGAAATGCAAACACACTTTCTAATTGACATTTAACTGATGACAGGTTTCTTTCTCTAAAAAAGACTTAGACAAAAATACACATCACAGGCAGATAGACTTTAAAAGAACGGTTTGTCTAAATGTAAAACAAACACACACAGGTGAGTACTAATGCAGACTTGTGTGTGCGTACTGTAAATATGCGTGATTGCTCTGGACAGAAACCTTGTGACATCCTAATATTTAAGTCTACCATTCAATAAAAGCCCATGCAGGGACAGCTGAAATGGCACATTCTAAAGGTGAATAAACAACATGAAGGCAAACAGGGGTGATGTGCAGGGGCATGGAGAACAGAAACAAGTCGAGGTGCAAAGGATAAAGACAGAAGGAAAATATCAAATGGGAGCAAGAGAACAGAAAAGCCCTATTGTCCATTTTGACTACAGTAGCTAAGTGTTTCCTGTGCAGCCAAGAGCTCATCTGCTGCAGGGGGAGTCAAGGTGACAGAGACAGTAGTTCGCCTCCACGTCTGGAATACCGATGGGTAAAACGCCTCTTCACAGCCTACTAGGTCAATGTTGACCACTCTGTCTGTCTCACTCACACACACACACACACACACACACACACACACACACACACACACACACACACACACACACACACACACACACAACTATAGGCAGAAAGGAGAGGCAGACAAATGGAAGGAGAGTAAGCAAGGGAGAGAGAGAGGGAGAAAAGAGGGTCACCTCTCTGACCCCCATCTCCCTCCACTCATCTGTTCATTGGACGAGCGAATGACCCCTGACCACTTTTCCCAGCATCCCTTGGACTCGAGCATCTACAGATGGAACATGTCCGCCCTCTTCATACTATACAGTAACAATGCTTCAGTCACATTCTGCAGATTAAATGGCCGAGTTATGGAAAAGTTTTATGATTTCCTCGCACATAACAGTCAAAATTCAGAAAATGTGTGAAACTAACATCTGTGCTGTACACATTAGGAAAAGAACTCTCTCCGTCCTTCCGACACAATCTGCCGTGCCACAAACAGCATCCTGCGTTCTGAGGATTTATCCGCATTTCTGAGACTAAGCGTGAGATATTAGAAATTAGTATTCGGCTGACCACAAACAGGCTTCCGCACCAAATAATCGGAATATACTACATAATCCTCCTTCACTTATGTAAGCTTTATCGGGCCCAGCGTAGATGGTGTGTTACTTAAACCTCATCCTGTTCCGACAGATAAAATCATTTACCACACCAGAAAGACTTGCACCTAATCCTATGCACGCAGCTTATGGATTTCATCATACATGTACCGGGTTTCTCAGAGGATTTGTAAACACACATATTGTGCTGTCTTTCAGACGCAATAGGTTTATCTGGAGTTTTAGAGACACTGTGGTTACATCATTCCTTTGTGCACATATGCTGAATGTTAACGTACTGTTTGTCATGAGACAACCTATGAATTTCAATGCCATTTGATATGGCTTTGAACGGCATGGTCAGATACAAAAAAACAATAGCATTTCCCTCATCTATTTTCCCCTCCTTTCTTCTGCCTTTACAGTGCAGTGGCCTCTCTACAGTGAAGGGAATTTTCATTTTCCCCTTCATAAAAGAGTCCGAATAATTTAGATTTCTGCTTTCTGAAGAGATCCTCCGTTTAATTTGGTTGCCATGGTAGCCAGGCACCCTTGGCTTCAACATTTATGCTAAATAAAACCCCTTTTAAAAAGGAGAGACAAATATGTGGAAATGGTGCTTCTCTTTGTTCATGTGAGTGTTTGTGTGTATGTGCGTGAGCGATGCTGCAAGCTATGTGGAGGCTTGAGTGGGAAAAAGCAAAGGCAGAATAAGACCTGCCTTGGAATAAAAAGATGTGTGTGTTGAACTATACTTCAAATGTGTTGTGAGGGATACTGCATTTATCGTCCATTGAGAGAGTTACGGCTAATGGATAGAAGATACAGTTTTATGGTGCTGTGGTTGGAAGGTGCACTGTATATCTGAGTTAAGTGTGTGCGTGTGTGTGTGTGTGTGTGTGTGCGTGCGTGTGCGTATGTGTGTGTGTGTGTGTGTGTGTGTGTGTGTGTGTGTGTGTGTGTGTGTGTGTGTGTGTGTGTGTGTGTGTGTGTGTGTTTCACAAGGGGAGTTGTATTATTAGAGAGCACGCTTTGACGCAGTAAATAGAAGGAAAGAGAGGGCCTGAAAAGGGAGGGAAGGGTCAGCTGACCCAGTTTGACCCCTGATCTTCTGTTCTGATTGTGTTCAAGGAGTATGTCTCTGTGTGTTTGTGTGTGTGTGTATCTCACCAAGTACCCCCCTTCATCTCTAAATGAAGAGTTCTGTTTTCCAAAAATACTTTTGCCAGATAGATGAATGAATGAAGTAAATTGATACACAGCCGCTACTTACAGTATGGCACACAAACAAATGATCTTGCTGTTAATTCACACACACACACACACACACACACACACACACACACACACACACACACACACACACACACACACACACACACACACACACACACACACACACACACAACTTCAAATCAACAGAGACAGTAGCCAAACACAATGGAGAGATTGGTGGTTAAGCAACGAGTTACTGAGGCTTGTCGACCACAAGAGAGCTGTCAGAGAAGAAAGTAGGGCTTGTGTGCATGTTTGAGTATGGGAGTGCAAACAAAAGAGAAGGACTCACTCACTATGTATCTTTGTGTGTGTATGTCAGTGTGTGTTTGTGTGTGCATAAGGAAGTATTGCCCCAAGTCAGCCTGGTAATGGCTTGGCCAGCTTGAGGTTCAAAAGGCCAAGGCATTACAAAAGCTGTGTTGTCACAAGACTGTGCTGTGCGCTGCATTGTCCGTGCGACATTACAGCGACATGCTTCATAACAAGACATCGCAAGTGTATTTTTACAAGCAGCTCGGCACACTTGGACATGCGATTAGTGCGTGTTTGTCCTCGAGTGGACAAAGAGGGGAGGGAAGGTGGAACTTGCTTCCTCAGCATGCCAGAGTTTGAGAGGGTAAAAAAGTAATTTCAGCAGAGAAGGGGGAGTGAGGCACTAAAACAGCTCAAGAATTCAGAGGCAATTTAAAAAGCAGTGTGGGAGAGGGGAATGAAAAAAATGCTGGGTTAAAAAGGAGGGAGGATGGAAAGTAAAAGAGGTTGTTATTCTCTCTCTCCCTTTCTCTCTGTCTTCTTTCCCTCACTTGCGCTCTCTGTTGTTTTTTAGGGACTATAGTCGGGCCACAACCTCCAGGAGAGATAGGGAAGGGTGGGTGGTGGTGGTGGTGTGGTGTGTGTGGATAGGGAGGGCAAGCATAAATCAAGCAGAGCCTGAAGGCTTTAGAGGAGGGAGGGACAGAGGGAAGAGAGTGGTAAAAGACAAGGAAGAGAGAGAGTGAGAGAGAGAGAGAGAGAGAGAGAGAGAGCGAGATGATGGTGCTGGTGGTGATGGTGGTACTGCTGGGGGCTCGGAGTAAAAGAGAGAGTGTGGGTGGAGGGGAGGAGAGGAGAGAAGAGGAGCAGAGCGATTGCAAGAGTGGTGGGGTGAAAGGTGGATGGTGGGGTGATGGAGTGTGGGTGGGTGGGTGAGTGAAGGGGGAGTAAGGAGAGGTGAGGGGGAGGTTACAGAGGCTGTGGGAGGGAGGGTGGTTAGTGATGGTGGGGGTGAACGAGCCAGCTAAATTTGAAGATGCAAGTTTCTCGCTGTCCACGTTACTCTGGTGCTTTCAAGACCCCAAAAACAGACTAAAATGCATTCAGGACATCAACTGTGTGTATTGTAATAAGTTAGCAATACACAACAAAAATGTACATTTCAACATATAAGCTGTTGGGGATTTGTAAAAGGAAGTGAAGCCCTAGTGCACCTTTCGCTTTTTTCTGTTGTGATGTTTCCTTATGTTAACAACATTTGAAATACTCAAGGAAGATACCATGGTGTGGACCCCGCAGATTTGGCCCACGCTGCCTCGTGGATATTTAGTTTTTTAGGGCTGCTAAGAAGATGGCCACACTCTGTAGCAGGCTAGTCGGGCTCCCAGCCTCTCTTGTCTCTTGTCTGTATGGGTGGTATAATCCCCGCTGTCCCCCCTATCCTCCCTGGCACTTCCTTCTCATGATTGTAAGCAATTTCATTTAATACAATTATTGAAGGGAGCTAAAAGTTTCTCAAGTAAGATAGCCTGAAAACTGTTGTTAAGCATTAGCTCAGGTGCTAACAGTCATAAAGAAATTCACACAGTGTA